CATTCGGTAATCTCTGAAGTTAGACTTCCCCCTTAGTAGAGCTGTACTTGAAGTTTTATTCAGGAGAGAAATGCTATTTTCAGTTCCTCTGGCAACAGAATTAATATGTAGTTCTTTTCCTTCTAATGAATTATCCAGCCTACTGTCCAAGTCTCAGCCCTTCTCACAACCCTCATTGTCTCTTGCCTAAGTGTTATGCAGAGAATTTATTGGAAGAACTCACTTTAGTGATTCTTCTCTTTGATGATCATCACCTGGATGAATTTATTAGCTCCTTAGTCTGTTGCATTTTGTTGGCAATCTGGACCTACTTCCAGAACTGTCAAAATTCCTCCATAGCCCTCAAAAGTCTGCTGGTGACATTACTCTCAGGTTTATAGAAATGCTATGATTTTATGGATTTATTTCTATTTGTATATTTCTTCTGTGATTTCTGTGTATTTTGGGGAGGGTAGTGAGGTAATTCACATGTTCATTTTGTTCAATTACTTGTGAACCGGCACTATTATCTTTAGATTTACAGCAAACTAAATTTTACTTTCTTGGCTTCTTAAAAAATTAATCAGGATCTGCAGTTTCTCTCTCAACAAAATAAGACAATTCAATTTTGTTTTTTTCATTTCTCGTATTTTACTTTCCTCAAGCACTCCATCTCTTTACCCCCTACCTCTTGGATTTGGTTACAATAATTTAGAATTATGTCCCCTCTAGTTTGCATATCCTTGCTTAATAAAACTGTATTAAATCCCACAATCTCAGTATCAGCAATTATTCACAATTTATTTTAACTTTTATTTTCTTTTTCTCTTACATCATTTTTTCTCTTACAACATTTTACATGTCCTCTCATTTCTTGGATTTAAAAGACTTTTTTCTTAGAGTAATTTTGGAAATAGGGTACACTGTTATCTGCTTCTCAAAACTTCAAGTAAGTAACCAGACAGGTTATTAATATTATTTCCAGATCTGGGTGATGAATCGGAGGCTCAATGTTGACTTTTTTAAGGTTACACAAATTCAGTGGCAAAGCCTAGACCCAAATTTGGATCTCCAGACTCTGAAGTTTGCTGTCTTTTGTATACATATTTGTTTCTTTTTCTTATAGTAGGTGTCCACGACAAGCTGTTTATTTTACTATCTTTTGTTGGAGTACTTTGAAAGACCATTTCTAAATACAGATCTCTGCTTTTCATAATTATTGCTGATGCTTGTGCAGTCATATTCAGTTTGCTTAGAATTGTGGACATTAAGAATATTATTTGGCAAAATCCTACATTGAGGCTGTTTGTGGTTGCTGTTTTTTGGAAACAATTATTATATAATTCTTCTTTGTGTAGTCATACATAAATATCTTGAATTTGAATACCTGACAACTAGAATAAAAGAGAAACATGATGGATTACATAACATAAATATTCTACTAAGAAGATGGCAGAGCATTAGGAGACTCAAAATTTTCTGAGTTAAGGCTGGGTGCAGTGGCTCACACTTGTAATCCCAGTACTTTGAGAGGTTGAGGTGGGTGATCAATTGAGGTCAGGAGTTGAAGTCCAGCCTGGCCAACATGGTGAAACCCTGTCTCTACTAAAAATATAAAAATTAGCCAGGGATGGTGGCAGGCATCTGTAATCCCACCTACTGGGGAGGCTAAGGCAGGAGAATCACTTTAACCTGGGAGACGGGAGTTGCAGTGAGCTGAGATTGCTGCCACTGCACACTCTAGCCTGGGCAACAAAGCGAGACTCCATCACCCCACCGCCCCCCCAAAAAATTCTGAGTTAAGAATGCCAAAAGTAATTTATCATGTATGCCTTAAAGATGTTCAGAAGAATATTACTGGAGATGCTATTATAGCCAGTTTATAACCAATAAAGACAAATTCTTTATATGACATAAAAATGTAATTTCCTTTATAAATATAAATGGATGCAAAAATCAACAAAATACTAGCAAACTGAATCTAGCATCTATAACAAGATTTATACAACATGACTAAGTAGAATTTATACTACAAATGCAAGGTTGATTAAGCTAATAAAAATCAAGCAATATAATAATATACCATATTGAAAAAATAAAGTACAAAAATCACGTGATCATCTCAATAGACAGAGAAGGAGTATTTAATAAAATTTGAAGCTCTTTCATGATTTAAAAAATTGGCAAACTAGGAACAAAAAGAAAGTTCCTCCACCTGAAAAAGGGCATCTATGAAAAGCTATAGATAACATAAGACTAAGTGGAAGACTGAAAGTTTTCTTCCTAAAGTCAGAAACAAGACAAAGAAGTCTTGCTCTCACCAGATTTATTCAACAATGTTCCACAGGTTCTAGCCAGAGCAATTAGGCAAGAAAAAGAAATAACAGGCATTCACAAAAGGGAGGGAAAAGTTCAAGCCCCTTCATTTAATATCATTTCCTGGAAGTTGCATGTACTGTTTCTGCTGACATGCAATTGGCCAGAACTTAACTGCAAAACTCCAACCAACATCAAGAAAGTTGGTATATTATGTCTTTATTCTTTGGAAACTTGTGCCCAGTTAAAATTTGGAGGTTCCATTTTTGAAGAAAAAGGAGACAATGGGTATTGGGAGACACCAGCAGTTCCTTCCATGTTTATTAAATGCAGGTCAAAAAAAGGAATTAGGTAATTTTTTTCCTTTCTTTTTACTTTTCTTCTTCCTTCCTTTTTCCTTCCCTCTCTTCCTTTCCTCCTTTTCTCCTTCTTTCCTTCTCTTACTTTCTTTCAATACATGAATTGCAAAAGATTACTAACCTAAATGCAATGTTGTCTTCTGGATTGGATCTTGGAACAGAAAAAAGGACATTAGTAGGAAAATTAGTGAAATATAAATAAAGTCTTTAGTCAACAAAACTGTACTCATGTCAGTTTCTTAGTTTTGATAAATGTATTATGGTTACATAAGATACTGATATTAGTGGTAGCTGGGTGAAGGATGTACAAAAACTCAGTATTATTATTGCACTTTTTGGTAAATTTGAAATTACTTCAAAATTAAAAGTTAAAAAAAGATGATTGCTGATATCCAATGGCCACGGGTTTGGAAAACTAGAAAGAATTCTTATCCACTCTTGGTGGTATATATATTAGTACAGACTTTTTTTTTTGAGATGGAGTTTCACTCTTGTCACCCAGGAGTGCAGTGGCATGATCTCTGCTCACTGCAACCTCCACCTCCCAGGTTCAAATGATTTTCTTGCCTCAGCCTCCCAAGTAGCTGGAATTACAGGTTTGTGCCACCATGCTGGCTAATTTTTGTATTTTTAGTAGACATGGGGTTTCACCATGTTGGGCAGGCTGGTCTCGAACTCCCAACCTCAGGTGATCCACCTGCGTTGGCCTCCCAAAGTGCTGGGATTACAGGTGTGAGCCACCGTGCCCGGCAGTACAGACTGTTTTTCTAGAGCAACTAGGTGTTATTTATTAAAGGTAAATGAATTAATACATTTTTATTCATAAAATCTCCTAGAAATTAGTTTTACATAAACACGAATGCCAGATTTTGAATTTCTCTTTTAGATAATTTAGCATAATTGCTCCAAATAAATCTAAAGGGCTATTGTCAAAGAGTGGAATATTTCAATTTATAATTTTATAGGTAAAACTGTCAGTCCATGATATGGTTGGTGTTTAAAGTAGAATGGAAGTGAAGTTCCCAGAATGGAGTTTTTAAAATAACCAAGTTCCTAGGATTTTAACTGGAAGAATAAATATCTGAAAGCCAGTGAGGAGTATTAAGGATGAGATGCCACTTCTTGCACCTTGAGAAAATGAAGTATGGAAGGATGAGTGGTTTTCATTTGAGAGGGCTGCAAGGTAACTTTTCCATTTCAGATGAGGAGGTAAAAGAATGATAATTGAAAAGGAAAAAAATTTACTAAGTAGGTTATACATTTTGGAATATAAGTTTCTATAGCACAATAGAAAAGTTTGAGTGGACACATAGCAATGATAGTTTGGGTGAGAGTGAGGCAGGAGAATAGGGTCTGGAGGCAGGGAACCTAAGGATGTTTCACGCCAACTTCCTAGAACTAAAATGAAAGGAAACCCCTAACTTTCCATGCCTAAGTAACAAAACGACCAAAGGCTACTCCCTTTGCAAACCCCCACTTTTTCTGCTGGGCAGATGGGAAATTGGCTGTCGGCAACAAATCAGACTGATTGCAGGGGAGGCTTCCTTTGCATAGAAGTATATCACTTTGTAACTTCACCCTGCCTCTGACTGATTGCTTTTTGCACCAGTGTTTGCACAGGAGCATGACCTTTGTGACTTCATTTAGGCCTCTGGTTGGCTGCTTTCTGCAACCAATCAGACTGATTGCGCGTTACTTTATTTACATGAAGTGAGCATGAAGTGGCCAACAGGAAGCTTCTAGAGGGTATTTGGACTCAACAGGATTCTGTATCCGGGCCCTTGAGCGGCTGCTCAGGTCGCTGTCGCACAGAGCATGCTTTCATTTTCAATAAATCCCTGCTTTTGTTCTTTTGTTGCTTCATTCTTTCTTTGCTTTGCTGGGCGTTTTGTCCAATTCTTTGTTAAAAACGCCAAGAACCTGGACAACTTGCAGTCACGACCCTCTACCGGTGACAATATTATTTAATTATTGGTAGTGGCTTAGGGTAGCAAACATCCCTTTGTGGAAAGTTTACTCAGTAAATCCTTAAAAAAACAGATCAGAAACAAAAACTGGCCTCCCAGGGATTTGGACTCAGGAGCTGAATTAGGCGCGGAGAGGGCGGAGCCTTAGGAGTTTATGGGCGGAGTTGCACTGGTTTGGCGGGCACCTCTGCTTCTGCTTGGCACTACTCGGCTCCTTGAGGCTCCCTGAGGCTCCCTGGAACGTGAGGCTCCGTGAGGCTCCCTGGGCTTCCACTCGGCTCTGTTCGGCTCCTGCTCCGGAAGGGTGGGCGGGGGCGAGTCCTGCGCATGCGCCCTCAACTCCTGCTGCTCTCAGGGCTGCGCTCAGCCTCGTGTTTTCACTTCCTTCTACTCAGAGCCGTATCCGGGTCGCTGCTTTCCCTATTGTCTGAGGCAGCCGGCCTCGAGCTGTGCAATTTCTGGGTTTTTTGTTGCTTGTGGTCCAGGCTAATAAAGTTTTTCTTTCTTTCTTTCTTTTTTTTTCTGGTTTTAACGGGAGAAATTAACTCCCTAGGGCCGCCGGGTTGGCTGCGCTGCCTGGGCCGGAGGTCTTCTCCGGCCAGGGAGCGCTGTGGGAAGGGGCTCGAGCGGCCAGGGCCAGGTGAGGCCGGGGGGGCGGGGGGTTAAGGGACCGCGGGGCTACTCTTGGGAGCGCCCCTGTCTGGCTGGCTGCGCGCCGGTTTTAAATAGCATCTTTCGGACTTGTCTTCGCGGCCCCAGTCCCCGACCTCGGCGCTGCCTGGGCTCCCGCAGCCTCTCCCTAAGTCTCCTCCAAACGACCACTTCACGGATTCCTTAGTAAGTGTGTCCAAGGCCTCTGCGGCGAGGGATCCATTTCAGCCATTCTAGATGTCAGGGCCGGTGGGAGCAGGGCAGGGGTGGGAGAACCCTGCGGGAAAGCTGGATTGGTGGACCCTGGCCCTCCATGGTCCGCGGGAGTGAAGCCCGCTTCTTTTATTCCCTGGGTTTTGCGTGTTTTATTGACTGTTACGATGTGTAAGTGGGGGATTACGAGTAAGGCACAGAACCTACATCTCGAAAAGATGGGCAAGAGGGTCAGCTTCGATTTTAGCTGGCCTGAGTTGGCGTTGGCAGCATCAGGGCTGGAGCTGCCTCTGAAACTGTCCGTGGAGCTGTCCAGCCTTCCCCACCCCACTTCTGCACCCCAACCTTCTCCTGACCTCTTTTGCTGAGAACTCAGTTAGACAAAAATTCCTTGCCCAAGGTCATCTTTGTGTTCTCTTAGCACCACAACTCTCCCCTGTGTTTGGTGTGATTATGAATGACAATGTAATTTTTTTTCTCTTAACAGTGGATCGCAGCTCCAAGAGGAGGCAGGTGAAGCCTTTGGCAGCTTCTCTGCTGGAAGCTCTTGATTATGATAGTTCAGATGACAGTGATTTTAAAGTTGGAGATGCCTCAGGTAAATATTTCCTTCTCTCTTCCCCTTTCCCAGCTTTCTGGAGTTAGGTTTATTTTTAGACTTTTTAAATCGGTTTTGATTAAAATGCCAATTTTAAGTGAAAGCACATAAACTTCATTTATTTTGTCCATTTGATTTCCCATTTTGCCTTTAGATACTGTCACTAGACCTATCGTTGCTTCTGTTTTCCTCAGAGATAATTAGCAGTCAGGGGAAGGACTTTTTCCTAAGATGCAAAAGGGTTTCTCTGTTTTACACCTTAAAATATATTTATGCTTATATTACAGAGGAAAAAACTGAAAGATATCCCAAAGTACAAAAGTATCCTGAGAGGTGTGTGGACCATTAATAGTCCCTGAGCAGGGTTCTTCTTTTTTCAGATCACTTGACATTCTCTTAGGGGAGTTTTGCTTTTTTAATGTATTAGCTCTTTTGCTAGAACAAAATTGACCAGAGTAAGAGTTGCACTTTAAATTATAGTAGGTGCTGGACCTTGTGGATTGGGCCTTTCAGATATCTCTGAAGTGTAAGTCATGCATGCTTGCTTACTATATTTAGTAATTTTAAAAACTTTTTTTTTAAAGGTGGTATATTCACGTTGTACTAAACTGGAAAACAGAAAAATATGGTTTTCCTTTGTATCTTCTGTTCAGTGTGCCTTATGTATATAATATATACAGTTTCAATTGAAGGAATCTGAGAAACATAAAAATTATGTTTAAATATTTTATGGGAAAAATACTGATAAACATGAACAATAAAAATTATTTGTAATTTCACCTCTTTTGAAAATTTAAATAAAGTGAGATGAAAATTTAAATAAAGTGAGAAGTAAAAACCTTTCCAATTTCATCTCTTCAGCAGTTTTTATATCCTTCTAGAGAGTTTGCTGTGCTTAGTCACATCTCTCCTTCCTCTGGTTTTCCCTTGTCTTTTTCCTGCTAGGGATAGTAGGAAGGGATGAATGAAATTATATTACTGTTGCTACTTTTAGTAGCATCAACAGCAGAATTTGCATTGTGATTTGCTGATAACTTTTTGTTTGCATAATCTCATTTAATTTTCACAGTAACTTAGTGAAGGAGATACTATTTTACAGGTAACAGGAGTATTGAGTTTAAAGAATTGGCATGAGGTCACTCAGGCAGTAACGGATCCAATGGATTTGACTTCAGAATTTAGTCTGTTTATCTGCTTGGATCCCAAGAGTTGATGGACGGAATCTTAAACAGAAACTCTGAATATTTGGTTACTAATTGAATTCATCCCCAGCAATCAAAAATTGATAAGTTTATCTTGATTAACTGTTTTTTTATCCTTTGCTTCTCAGCTCTTTATCCCTCCTTTAGTTGGTTTGCTGATGTTTGGTATTTCCAAAGAAGGGAAGGGGAAGGGAAAGGAGGTAAAATTTAAATCTTAGTTCTCTTGGTAAAGACCTTGGCAGATAAGAATATTCCTGACTAGGATGTAGTTTTGGTTTGTTATGGTTGTGGTTGTAAACTTTGACAAACATAGTTGGGTCTTGGAAGTTATGAATTCTTTGAATATTAGAACAATTCTAAAACTTATATTAAGTATTACATAATTATGTGACAATAAATCTTGACTTTGTGGACAGTTTGTTTATTGAGATGGAGTATTCACAGGTATCGCTTCTTTTTCAAGTGATAGAACAATCTGATACAAACAGAAAATACTTTCTCAAAATATTTTATGACATCGAGCTAAGTAGAGATTTCTGACCTTGTTAAATCCTAACTATAGTTGAAGACAACTGTTGTTTGTGAAAAATGATAGGATGAGTTTTGTTAGTTTGATATATCTATATATCCCTTAAACACACTAAAAATATTTACTTTCTGTTCCCTCTTGTAACATAATATCTAGTATGCTGTACTCATAATTTACCCTCCTGGCTCCCTGGGGAGCTTAAATTTGCGACCTGTGGTTTCAGGTCACAATTTTGTATGTATAGTTCTTGGTATTTATTGTAAAAGGGAATTTAGAAGAAAATGATTGTATTTCAAATGATTAGTAGTCAACAGAAATTGAATCATAGTTTTGACTTGTTTTAGGTGCATCGATGCTCTGCATAGCTGAGATACTGGCTTACTCTAGATTACCATTGTTTTCCATTTGAATCTTTTCTGTGCCTGAGGTAGTATATATTTAATTGAAGTCTTATAGAGAATAAGACATTAGTCCTATCACTGGTTTTCAAACATGTTGAAGTTGTGGATTCCCAGCACTACTTATGAATAGGGGATTAAATTGGAAGTAGACAAACGGTAGCTAAACATCTGTCTGATCATGTTTTCTTTCAAAATAACTTCTAGAAATGACTTATTGAATGAACTACGAACTTCCTTAGAACTTAAAGTGGTTAGATTGGTTGGCCTTAATTTTGGCTAACTGGATTCTGTGGATCAGTTTTTTCTTACCTTCATCTTGAAATCTGAAATTCTGACTATAAAACTTTTTATATTTCTGTTTGGTTTTAGGAATAAATATAGAAAACATTTGCAGATAAATGTAATTTAACTCTATCATAAAATAGAAACAAATCAACATTTGGTAAAGAGTGACCCACGAGTAAGATTGGCAAGTGATTACCAGCCTGTACCTTTAGAAAATTATGAAACTGAAGAGAGTTTATATTTTATTTTTAATGCAAAAGCACAAGAAGCTTCTCATTTTTGATTGAAAGCTATCAATAAAGTTTGAAATGAGTAAGTCCTAAAATAGGGTATGTGTGTGTTAGAATTATGGTGATAACCACCAGAAGAACAATATGTAGAAATGTTAGGTTGAACCGTATGGAATTACCAGTTTTGTAGGTCCAAAACAGTCAAATATTAGCAATTTCATGGTTTGACCTAGTTAAAGTGTTTATATTTGAGACTTGGGCATAGGGCTGGGGGTAGGATAGGAGACTTATTTACATTTAGTTATCTGCTACATTAATTGAATGTTTTAAAGAATGTTTACATCTTTATAAAGATGCAGACCTGTATTACTTTTATTAACCAGACAGATTAGCCATGCCCTCTACCCCCATCCCCCACCAGCCAAAGTAAAATGGAGTTAACTTTAGATCTTAATCAAAAGGTAGTTTAGTTAGGCCATATTACCAGGAAATAATTTAATGAGAAGAGTCAGCCTGAGACTTTGGTGGTATTTTGTGCTTAATCTGACTTTGAATAATTGGACCAAGATATGTTCATTGATTGCCCATAGTTTAGCCCTTTGCTAGATGTTATGGTGAATTTATAAAACAATAGTAATAATATTAGAATAAGTAAGTAAAATAACATGTAAGTAACATAACATGTAAGTAAAATAAAAATTAGAATAATTAAATAAAATAATTGATACAAAGGATGGTTGATCACTTGTGTAATTCAAGTCTTTCATAGGAAATGGGATTACTTTAGATTGATGTAGAACAATTTCATTGAGGAGAGGAGATAAGAGTGGAACTATGAACAGAAAGATTTAGATAAACAGCAATCTTGGTGAGGCAGAAATTAAAAGTGTTGAGACTTGGAATTGTTTTTTATATTTGGGGATCAGGGTTGACTAAAAGTAGAAGAGATAAGCCTGGAAAAGTAGAATAAGGTCAAATTGTGGCCATATATACGAGTTAAGGGTTTCTCAACCTCGGCGCTATTGGCATTTTGTGTTGGATAGTTTTTTGTTGTGGAGGCTTGTCCTGTACCCAATAGGATGTTTAGCAACAACAACCCTTTCCTCTACTAGATGCCAGTAGCCTCTAGATGCCAGTTTCCTACCTGCCCCAGCCTCACCTCCACCCCCACTTCCACTGTTGTGGCAACTGTTGTTTCCAGACATTGCCATTTGTCCTCTGGCGGAAAAAATGTCCCCATTTGAGTACCACTGGCTTAGATTTACCCATACAAACCTAAGATGACATAGCTGGAACTAGAATCAGCAGTAGAGGATGAGTTGTGTTGACTGACTGGCTGTCTTCAAGACATACACAGTTTTGGTCAAATGTAGCCCCGGGATAGCTCTAAATAACTGGTAGAATAGTGATCGGTCTGTTATCTGTTGTGTATATTTATAGTACTAATACTGTTGTACCAGATCAATGAACAGAATTAGATTGATGAAATTGATCAACAAATTTATATTGCACATGTTGTATATTAACATAAAACTAAATTAAGTCATATTGATTTTGTTATGGGGAGAACATTGGGTATAGTGGTATTGATGGTTGATATTAATTAAATTAGTTTTTATTTTATTATTTAATATTATAAAGGGATTCTTGAAGGTTGGTGTTTTAAATTCTAATTTTAAAATTTATTTTATTTTTTGTCTGGCTGTTACCACTCAGAGGAGTTTTGAAAAATTCTGTGATGGTAAAAAATTTCTTAACTGTCTGTTAGTTGAAATAGCTGTTGCTTGGAGAGATTCCGATATATTGTGTATTTGAGAAAGGTTATCTTTTATTTAACCAAATGGGAAGTAGGATTTCAATTTTAAAGATTTATTTTTTTCAAATGTAAGAAAAGTTTATTGTAGACTTGAAATTAACTCTGTCTTTCTGCCTAAGATAGCTTTATTTGAAGTGTCTGGCTAATTTCTCCAGTGTATTTCTTTTTTTCCTTTCTCTTTTTTTTTTTTTGGAACATGGCACAGAGTCATTCTTTGATTTTTAGTAATGGGAAATTTTTTTCTTTGCAACCTATGGAAAAAATAGACAGCCAAGGATCTTGATTTTTCTCATTATCATTATTACTCAGCTATGCTTGTAAATAAATATGGTTTATCTCCATCCCTCCAGTGCATATGTACAAAAAACAAATAGTGACTAATCAGATGAAGAAGTTATTTTTCACGGATCAGGGAAAGATAATATTTGATATATTGCTGATCCCTATAGAAAGATAAAATTTGATATATTGCTGATCCCTGTAGTTGGAGTCTGACTAATGTACTATATTTGGAGAACGAGGGGTTGGATAAGCTATTAGGACTTGGTTTTGTGGGAAAATGTCCATTCTTCTAATAATTAACAAATATAAAACATTGAATTTTTTTTTAATTCCTTTCTATTCAGGCATGATTATAAATCAAAAACAGAATCAAGGAGTCTCAATTTACCTCTCATTAGAAAAAATAATTAATTGGCATTGACAGCTACCAAAACAAAATCACAAAAATCTCTGACATTTTGTGAAATTTACCAAGTAACAGCAAAGTTGGATTGGTCTCAGTTTTGATCAGCTACCCACACTTCTGCCCCAGTTAATCTTACTTTTTTATCTATCATTAAATTTTGATTGGTAAAAAGCCTTCTAGAAGGTTGATCCAGAAGAAAAGTAACCTTTTCTTTCATCTTCGTCTCCTAGCTCTCTTAATTATGGCATTGCTTCCATTCTAGAGCCTAAGGTGTTTCAGTTTTCTTTAGTCAGTGTGCATAAAAGATCTTTCTGTGTCTTAGAAGTGTTTAGTCAACTCTGGTTTTTATTTATTAAATCATAATTTTAAAATGTCTAAAGATTATTATTGTTATTTTTACCAGATGGGATTTTTCCTGGTAGGTTGGGTTTAATTGCTGTGAGTGGTTTACAAAATCATAATTTTCTTAATGCTTTGGAGACTGAAAAGAAGTCACTTGTTTGTGAGTGATATTGGGTCCACACTCTTGAAATCCAAGAAGCTCAAAAATCCAAGTGTTTTGTAAGGTTGACACAAACTTACTTGATGGCAAAGCCTAACAGGAACTGGTAGGAGTTTATTTGTAGTATTTATTTCTCATACACTGTAAATATTTATATTTTTCTCTGCAGAAATAATGTTTGATTATAGGATAATCCCATGTACTTCACTGGGGGTATTACTGTAATATATGGTACATGTTCCATGTTACCCTTGAAAATCTGAGAAATTATGAATTCTAAAACACATCTGCTTCTTAAAGTTTCAGATAGGGAATTGCTGACCTGTATGATATTGCTCTTGTATCCTGTGCAAGGTTGTTTAGGATAAGAGTGTTTTTTTCAGAACAGTCACAAGTAAGCCTTGGATACCTACATGACAGATGTGAGATTGATAATGATTTCATAGAGTCAGTCAGTATCTCTTAAATGTTAGTGTTTATTTTTTATGTAATTTTGCTTGCAGGATATTTTTGTTAGCGGTCATTTTATGACTTGTGGGGCTCACTAGATACCAGATACTAATTACAGACAGCTTCCTTCAATTTTAGTGCTTAGTTAATTACAGAGGTTAAGCCTAGTTGAGTTAATAGAAATTAAAATGATATGGAAACACTCTACTTTTTCCACCATTTTATCATTACCTTTTTCTTGGCTATAGGTGCAAAAATTCATCATCCTGTGGATGTAACTATTGGTACTGGCTAAGACTTAACTGGTTTCTTCCCCACTTCCTCTTGCTCCCTGTCCTCTTTTCCTCCTCTCATTTATTTCTCTCTTCAAATATTTTAGATTGTTATTTACTTGATTGGGTACAAAGAGAATGGTTAGAAGGTTACTGAGTAGTGTTGGGTTGAGAGGGACTGGGCTGCCCTAGGTAGGAGTGGAAGAAACCTGCTAGAAAGCGTAAGTCCTATGAGCTCTTTAATGTCTTCAGCCTAACTTTTCAGTGACTGCTCATTTTCAGGATGGACTGCTTTGTTCATCAGTTTCTTCTGGTCTAGAGTGTATAAATGGTTACTGTGTAGCAGTTTTGAAAGTGTAGTGACTCTTCTTTTATTGATATGAACAGTATCCTAATAAACAGGAAAACTAATAATTTCTCTTGCAACTTCCTTTTTCTCTGCCATTGCTATTGTCTCTTTTCACCTGTGTTCTTGGTATTCCTAAAATTTGTTTGGTATATTAGGGATGTAGTATAAGTTGACTATCATAAATATCCATGCTCATTTTACTGGGTAAAGAGTAAAATAAATGAAGCAGTTTTATGGGCCAGATTTATCTTGTTTTGGTTGTGACTCAATACTTACAAGTCCATATAGTTTACAAAAGATGTTAAAGGGAGGAAGAATTTTGTCTGTGTTATCCGTAAAATTAAAATCAAGTGCCCAATCTTAAAAGAAGCACATTTACTTTAAAAAACAATTGCCTCTTCGATACCAAATATTGCCATGTGACACAAAATAGTGCTTCTCTTTTTAAAGCATATTTTAATTTAGGGTTATATATATTCATCTTCATTAGAGCTATACAAAACCATTGTATCAACTTCATTGATTTATTATTTGATCAGGTTGGGAATGTCTACCATTCTTTGACTTAAATTTGTTTATATTGTTTTGCAAGTTATTCACAAATTTTGGTGGTTTCATTTGTGTCAGCGTCGTGTGTGTGTGTGTGTATGTATATACATATGTGTGGTTTTTTTTTTCTCATATTTTCAACAGATTCTGAAGGGAGTGGTAATGGAAGTGAAGATGCTTCAAAGGACAGTGGAGAAGGTTCCTGTAGTGATTCTGAAGAAAATATTTTAGAAGAAGAACTGAATGAAGATATTAAAGTAAAAGAAGAACAGCTTAAAAATTCTGCAGAGGAAGTACTATCAGCAGAAAAACAATTAATTAAAATGGAAAAGAAGGAGGAAGAAGAAAATGGAGAAAGACCTAGAAAGAAAAAGGAGAAAGAGAAGGAAAAAGAAAAGGAAAAAGAGAAAGAGAAGGAAAGAGAGAAGGAAAAAGAAAAAGCAACAGTATCTGAGAATGTGGCTGCTTCTGCTGCTGCCACCACACCAGCCACAAGTCCTCCGGCTGTTAACACATCCCCTTCTGTTCCCACTGCGACAACTGCTGCAGAGGAACAAGTCAGCGAGCCAAAAAAATGGAACCTTCGACGAAACCGACCGCTTCTGGATTTTGTGTCCATGGAAGAGCTGAATGACATGGATGACTATGACAGTGAGGATGACAATGATTGGCGACCTACTGTAGTAAAGAGAAAAGGGAGATCTGCATCTCAGAAAGAGGGAAGTGATGGAGACAATGAGGATGATGAAGATGAGGGAAGCGGGAGTGATGAAGACGAGAATGATGAAGGCAATGATGAAGATCATAGTAGCCCTGCCAGTGAAGGGGGTTGCAAGAAGAAGAAGAGTAAAGTTCTTAGCAGAAACAGTGCTGATGATGAGGAACTGACCAATGATAGCCTGACCCTATCTCAAAGCAAGAGTAATGAGGTAGATCAACCCAATTTTTATATCTGTCTGTCTGGGGAAAAGGGAATTCTTCTCTAAGTCACTCTACACATTGTATTAAGTGGCTTCCTTGAAATCCTATTTATAGACGGCTGTGGGATGAATGAGCACTCTAACTGTAACATTTTTTCATTTGGCCAACAGACTTTTATTAAATATCTACTATTTGTCACCGTTCTCAAGGAGCTCACAATCTCTGTCCTCAAGGAGAAATATTTAGAGAAATATTTTTATATCCATAGACTTGGGAAATGACAAAGTTTTCCATTCTCCTTTTTATCCCTTTACTCCTTTGTTCATAGGACTGCTGAATGGTGCTGAGTGGAATATGAAAACAAAGGTCACCTTTCTTTCAACGTAGTTATGTCCATATCCTTATTAAAATGCAGGCCTTTAGAATACCTTAGAGCAGGGCAACAAACAGTCTAATGATTTTCTCAAACCTTAGAGATTAGTTTTAAAGATTAATTCCTTTACCGGTTGTAGCACTCATCATCTTTTTAGTCACCAAATCTTTGCTTTATGTGTACGGGACATACACATAAGTATAAACTATTTTTACATATATTTAGTAAATAAATTCTCTCTACAAAGAAATGGAATAAAAACCCAAACATTTCCATCATAAAACAGACATTTTTGTCATAAGACTGCAGTAATGGCTCAGTGCTTCTACTTGAAGTTCTACTACTGAAAGTTAGGTTTATCCATTGATCTCAGAGATGCATCATTCAAGACTCTTCAGTCAAACACATTTGTGTCTCTTTGTGTATGTGTTTTTGTATATGTTTTTCTTCAAAAGAAAGATTGAGTTGTTGTCTTACATGTAGATGTATCTGTTACATCACATGTACAACTGTAATAATTCTGTCATTTCTGTTAATGTGTTTATATTCACCAAAATTTATTTCCTTTACCACTTATTTTTTTTCCCATATCACTGAAGTAAGTTAAACTGGTAGAAAGATTTTTCCTCTTATGCTTTATTTGTGCTTTCACATTTTTCTGCCTACAAGTTTTGCATAGCAGTGATTATCTATTTTAATTGTTTTGCTTAAAAAGTTGGTGATTTCCTTACGAAAATAATCTATAGCAGGCTGTAAGGTTATCAGTGGAGATGAGACAACAGTTTATATTTGGATTATAAACACTGGTTTACTTCTGAAACCAATATTTTATATGAAAAAAAATGTTGCCTGCCTTCAATGTCATTCTAATTCTTAACTTTAAAAGAAAGTTGTCATTTGGGAAAAAATATAATATTTTTAATGATATAGCACAGGCAGTTCCATATTATCAATGCTATCTTAAACAGGCATAGAAAAATCTAATTGTTTGTATTTAATTTAGGCATGCATGCAGTTTATTTTATAGCACTTAATACTGTATATCTAATGAATAAGTTTATTTTGACAATATCACTTCCCTCATTTTTATTAGGTTGATATTCTTAGAAGTAGTCTAGCTAATGATAGAGGCAGTGTGTATTAGATTTATGCTAAAGAGTGGGGGACACCTGCATATGTTTAGAAATTTGCCACGTAAAATGTGTATAGTATCTGTTTATTAAACCTGTACTTCATAAATACTGCCTAAGAGGTTGTAGACTAACATTTACGATGCATTTGAAGTCCATGTATTGGTTGCTTAGTTTTTTTTCCCCACTAGAAGACACTTCAGTAAATAATGGGACCGTTTATGTTTAGATTAATAGTCCCAAACACAAGCACATTCAGGAATGAGATTCCAAAGCACTTCTTCAAAAAAGTGCCCATGTAGAAGAGATTATAAAAAGTTACTTTTTCTCCAGAATAACATTCTACTTAAAAGCTTGAGTCATTTTCCCCACAACTCTATTATTCAAGTGCTACAGTAATTTTTTGATGATTTTAATTTAAATTATGTCCCTCAAATTAGATAATTACATTTTAATTAAAAAACTAACCAATTGTGATTATTAGTTATATTTCTAGATTTCTTATTTGTATGATCTTAATTTTGTAAAAAGATGATTAAAGCTAGTCCTTGTTGCCTGTGGCCAATGTTTGGGTTTTAATCTTCCTGGTTATTTTAGCTAGTGATAATTTCTGTGTCCATTACATAGTTAAGTATATATTTGATTATATTTGAAGTTTGATTTTCCCTGCTTTTACTTTGTTTTCAGAAACTACTTTGTAGTAGAGATAGCTGAAAATGTAGCTTTAGAAATACATAATAGAAATATATAATTATACCATATTTAGTTTATAAGCAGGCAGACATTTTTCTTGGTTGCTATGTTAAGTTCATTTGTAATGAAATGACCTGAAACTTTCATAATTTTGAAGTTTTGTATGGGAACTTGATATTTATTTTAGCAAGGCCTTTTTATAATTATCGCTGTTAATGGCCTTGACATACCTATGCTACAGACCCTGAAATACTCTCTAGCAGTGATTCTCAAACTGTTTTTTCTTTTTTTGAGACAGGGTCTCACTCTGTTGCCCAGGCTGGAGTACAGTGACGTGATCTCGGCTCACTGCAACCTCCGCCTCGTGGGTTCAAGCAATTCTTCTGCCTCAGTTTCCTGAGTAGCTGGGAATACAGGTGCGTGCCACCATGCCCAGCACATTTTTGTATTTTTGGTAGAGATGGGGTTTCACCATGTTGGCCAGGCTGTTCTCCAACTCCTGACCTCAATTGATCCACCTGCCTTGGCCTCCCAAAGTGCTGGGATTATAGGCATGAGCCACCACGCCTGGCCTCGTTTTAAAATTTTTTTAATTTTTATTTTTTTTTTGAGACAGGGTCTCGCTTTGTTGCCCAAACTGGGGTGCAGTGGCGTGATCATGGCTAACTGCAGCTTTGATCTCCCAGGCTCGAGCAATTCTCCCACCTCAGCCTTCGGAGTAGCTGAGACTACAGGTGTACGACCATGTGCTTTTATTTTTGATTATTATTATTATTTTTTTTGTGGAGACGGTATCTTACTATGTTGCCTAGGTTCATGTCAAATTCTTGACCACAAGCAATCCTCCTGCTTCAGCCTTCCAAAGTGTTGAGATTACAGGTGTGAGCCACCACACATAGCTCTTTTACAGTTTTAAAAATTATTGAGGACAACCGTTAATATTTATGTGGATAATATCTGTTGATATTTACCATTTCAAATTAAAACTGAGTAAGCACACAAGTTGTCAGATCCCATTTTATATAGTGTCTGGAAAACTTCATTTTACTCCCATGAGGGAAAGAGTGAACAAGACAAATAGTGTCTTAGTATCATTATGAAAATTGACTTTACTTTTTATACCTGCTGAAAGAGAATTCACTGGACCACACGTTGAGAACTGCTGCTCTAGAACTGGGCATTAGATAAATTCCATTCTTGCAAACAGGCACCTGTTTTTGTCAATGACCTTCTGGCATTTTTTGGATTTAGTGCAGTCTGAAGAATCCCCTTGAAATATGGTTGTATGTCTTTTTCAGCCGTTAATCTTGCAGCTTTGAGATTCCTTAAGATTATCTTGCCCTTTAGTTTTCTGAGGTAAGTTTTTTGGAGAAGGCAGTTTAGTATTTTCAGAAATGGTTCCCATTTTCAAGATTTTGAAACTGAAGTTTTGTATGAGAATTAATACATGACAGTAAATTATGTCAATAGAATTGGCATTTTTGTTTTGTAAAAGAAAGAGTTCTTTTCTCATGGAAAATACTTAAAATTGGAGACAGTTTGGATTTTGGATTACTACTTTATAAATGTAACTTTATGTTCTTTGCTGAGTAGAATTTTTTTTTCCATAAAAGGCTCTGTTACAGATATTAGGTGTCATATTAAGAAATGGCAATTGTCACCTGATTTTTGTGAATTAAAATGTAAAAATTTTGCCAAAATTTATAAATATCCACTTCTATTTGAGACTTCTAATTTATTAATCAGTTGCCTTTTTACACATTGCAAAATGAAACAAATTGCTCTGAGTCCTAAAAAAAAGTCAGTTCTGTAACATTGTATAAATATTGAGATTCACGAGAATTTGACCTTTTCTAAAAGCTTAGAGGAAGTATGATTGGTCAAGCTTTTTGATATAATAATTTTTTCTTCAGGGCAGTAGGATTCTTTTAATTCGAATTTTACAGGAAATGTGCTGGAATTTCCTTGTATTAAACACATGTGTTTAGATAAAATTTAGCCTATTGTATATATCATTTACAATCATACATGGAACATATATATATATAAAAATGAACAGTAAGCATATTTTAGAGCCTGTGAAGAACATTGATCAGTGTTACCATTTTGGGGGTAAGTTTTAAATCCTGATGGAAAAAATGAAATATTTACTATAAGTAGTGATTGATTTATTCATGTAATATCACTTATTCTTCTATAATTACATTGGATTCCATTACATTATTCCACAATATTAAAGTTATTTTCTAGGTGGTACTTTTTTGCCATTCAAAACCTATTTTCCTGATGTCTATTTTTATGTAAAACCATATTTTAGAAATTTTATGTTAAAAGCTTCAGCTTAACTACTTTCTCTAAAATCTTGAAAGATGATGTATGTCCTCAGAAATATCCTAACAACAGATGATAATAAATCAGGTTTTGTATTGATCTAATCATAAGTGTGCTTAAACCTATGTTTGATGTGTTAAAACTGAGATCTAGCTGGCCGTGGTGGCACATACCTGTAATCCCAGCTACTGGGGAGGCTGAGTCAGGAGAATTGCTTGAACCTGGGAGTCGGAGGTTTCGGTGAGGCGATATCTCACCATTGCACTCCATCCTGGGCAACAACAGCGAAACTCCGTCTCAAACAAACAAACAAAAAAAGCAAAAAAGAAAACTTAAGATCCTAATTTTTTTTTTTTTTTTTGAGACGGAGTCTTGCTCTGTTGTCCAGGCTGGAGTGCAGTGGCCGGATCTCAGCTCACTGCAAGCTCCG